CTGTGACAATATTTGCTTACATTATTACAAATCCAAATACAGTCCACAATAAATCGAAAATTTACAACACATACCCGCCGGCAAAATTTACAATAAAATTTTCCGCCATATTGATTACATATATTACATCCATATTACATATATTACATCCATATTACATATATTACATATATTACATATTCCATATATATATACATACATTTATACATATTTTCTCTACACAACTACACCCCAATTCCGAAAGCTCAAGTATTTCCGTCGGCCATCCAATAAATATATATAAAACGAATTCCTAAAGCTGACGTGAAATAACTTTTGTGTCTCAGTGTGTTTTACTTATTTACATATTTTGGGCACTATCCATCCATACATCTACACATACACGCGAATTGCAGTACCGCAAAAAGCTCGATAATCCCGCGCATTCCAGCGTCACCAATACACAGCCCGCAAAAGTTCGGGCAGTTGTTTTTCAATCATCCAATTAATAAATTAATTAATAAATTCCAACAAAATTAATAAACACCAAGTTCAACTCCAATAAAATTAAACAAATACTGAGAATTACTGCCAGTTCCAAAAAAGAAAAAAACGCCCTTTCCAGTATTTTGTCCTCTTATTTATTGAGCTTGGTAAATCTGCAGATACATCGATACTCAAGTTTTTCTTTTGGGGATAAAAAAGAAAAATTCGAAAAAAATACCACCCGCATACCACTGAAAGGTATTATTTTTGTTTTTTTTGTCTCCGAATATTTTTTTAAAATAAAGAAAAACAAAACCAATAAACTCCAAACACTGCCGGGGACATCCAATCCCATCCTAATTCGGCCAACCACCCACTATAAAATACTAAACGACAAATACCTCATCCAATCCAGTATTTTTTCAGTATTTTTATTTTGTGGTATTTTTTTGGTATTTTTTTTCCATTCTTGCTCCATCGTTCCACCAAAAGCCTGGCGAATATTTCAACAATAATTCAGCCACGCATATCGACTATTTTTTGAGCTAGTCGATATCCTATTTCCACCGGTCCATAAGTGGGTCCGTAATTGTTTCTCTGATTTTTGTCCGAAACATCAGCGCGCACATTCCATCCTAACAGCATCCTAGTTTGGTATGTCCGGGGAAAGTTCCAACAAACTATCCCCTGTTCCATCACCGAAAATACCAAAAATCACGGTAAGGACGCCCACACCTAAAAAGGTCAAGACGTCACCTCCCAAAAAGGCTCCTTCTTCCATCGAAAGAACCACGCGAGCCAGCACAAAAATGGTTGCAACGGCTGCCGACCTCGCTATGAGCCAATTTATTGAAGTCTCGGATCGACTGTCCGAATTGGAATCGCGGATAAATATTCCCTCGGCGGTCCCTCCTACGTTATCCGTCCTCAATATTCGCCGAGACGAAATCCGAGAGGTATGGATCCGCATCAAAAAAGAATACGATGCCTGTACCGCATGCCTTGTAGCAGCCGGAGAAGGTGCAGCTGACAGCTTGCCAGTCCTCAAGGCTAAGTACGGGTATTGCTACAGCGCGTACGAAAGGTGCGGTGCCCAGATAGCAGACATGATAGCGCAAACTCCGCAACTTCCGCAACCTTCCCCAACGCCAGCTGATCCTTCTCAGACATACATTCCGTCAGGCTGCCGGCTTCCGCCGTGCGATACCGAAGTTTTTACCGGCGACTATCTTCGTTGGCCAACCTTTAGGGATCTATTCACGGCAATTTATATCAACAATCCCAGACTCACTCCTGTCGAAAAATTATTTCACCTTAATGCCAAAACGAGTGGCGACGCTCACAATATAGTTTCAAATTCACCCCTTACTAATGATGGCTTTCGATCAGCGTGGGATAACCTCACTGAGCGTTTCGAAAACAAGCGATTGTTAGTAAACAGTCAATTAAAGATACTTTTCAATGTACCGTCCGTCACACAGGAGTCTGGGTCAGCCTTGAAAGAACTTCAAAGTACCATCCAGGGTTGCCTTACTGCACTAGAAATGTCCGGTATTCAGGTCGAAACTTGGGATTGCCTCTTGGTATATATGTGCTCGTCCAAACTCCCAAAGCTTACGCTTTCCCTATGGGAGCAGTCCCTCCATAACAAAGCCGAGATCCCTACGTGGCACGAGCTGAACGTTTTCCTAACGGAGCGTCACAGGACACTAGAAGCCATAGATGATGTACGACCATCAGGTTCTAGTCAGACTCAGCCCAGGGCATCCACTTCCAACTCGGCGTCTCGAAGAATAAATTCATACGAGACAAGGGTAGCACCTAGGCAACTTAGAGGGTGCGATCTCTGTAATAGAGAGAACCATCCTGTACGCACATGCGCCAAATTTCTCCAGATGACGGTCGACCAACGCATCGCATATATAAAAAGAAAACAGCTGTGTTTAAACTGCTTTGCGCGGACACATCAGTTGCGCGACTGCGAAAGCGCACATAACTGCTTCACGTGCCGCGGCCGCCATCACACGCTCCTACACCGAGGCAGCCCATCCCCAGCGCGCGCAAATCCAACGCCAACGCCCAGATCCAGACCAAATACTCTCGGTCCCTCGGCTGCCAGTGGCACGCAGTCAACGCTTCAGAATTATTTTGCGGCAGGCACTCGGTCAGTCCTCCTAGGCACCGCTATAATTAATATATGCCATCGAGGTTCCAATTTCCAAGCGCGAGCCTTAATAGACTCCGGATCTGAGGCGACCTTCATCACTGAGCGCCTTTTCAACCTGATTAAACTGCCGTTCCAGGTTATCCGAGCACAGGTCTCAGGACTTAATCAAACGGTCTCCGCTGAGACCAAAAAGATCTGTCAATTCACGATCCGTTCTCCAACCCGGCCTAGCTTGCAGTTAAACACCACTGCCTACGTGCTTCCACAAATAGCCGGAAATCTTCCTTCATGTCCGCTTCCGCAACATTTCCTGCGAGACCTTCCCGAACTTCCGCTAGCGGATCCAAAGTTCTATGAGAGCGCACAAATAGATATTCTAATCGGGGCCGATATACTTCCATCCATTCTACTAAGCGGTACCCGAGCGAACATCTGTGGCTCGCTTCTCGGTCAAGAGACTATTTTCGGCTGGATTCTAACAGGACCAGTACCAGCTCCGAGGCATGATCAAATATCATCCTTTTCCACGCAAGTTGCACACACGCCATCGAAGCATCTCAAATCATCTTTTTTTATCCATTACTCCCCACCAGATCACATCATGGTTCCTCGTCCACGCAGCGCTCAGGCATTAGAAAGCAGACGTACTCGAGGTATACATTCCTACCGATGCCGAGTCTGCCGTGGAATCCATCCGCTTCGAAAGTGCCAGAGGTTCCTAAAGCTGAGCGCAGAGAAGCGGCTTCGGGCAGTGCTGATTAATAAGTACTGCTCAAATTGTCTCGCCCACGAGCACTCCGACGGGAGTTGTCGCAGTGGCGACAAGTGCAAAACGTGCAACGGCAAGCACCACACGCTCCTCCATATGCACGAGCGTCCCCTGCCGTCGGCTAATCAACAGCGTTCGCGCCGGCAGAATCCGCCAACTCGCCAAGCGCTAGCCCCGGCAAGGCGCTCGGCATCCGCCGCTTCTCAGCAGCGCTCGCGCCGGCAAGATCCGCCAACTCGCAGAGCGCTTGCCTCTCCGCCGCGCTCAGCCTCCTCGGCACCGGCTCCGTCACTGGCGTCCATTCTCCAACGGCACAGCGTCAATGTCCTGCCGACGGCCATGATCACTTTGGAGACCGGGCTGAAGACCTTCGACACGGCCGCCCTCATCGACCCGTGTACACCGACGAGCTGCATCGACGCATCATTGGCATCCGCGTTCCGCTTGCCGACTACGACCGTCGGCGACGAGAGCATCTGCACGGCGACAATTCGGTCAAAGTGCGACAACGGCTTCAAGCTAGAGGTCGTCTTGAAAGTGGAGCCGAACGTCCGCATCCGCACCCCCATCCGAGAGCTCTCGGACACCGTGGTCGGCAGATACGGAGACCTCCCGTTGGCCGACAAACGTTTCTACTTGCCGGCAACCATCTCGGTAGTCCTGGGTGCGGATGTCTACGCCAAGGTCATCCGACCGGGCTTCCATCTGGTCGACGAGGGACTCCCAGTGGCCCAGAAGACGGCATTCGGGTGGATCCTGTCCGGCGCCTGCAGTCAAGCCTAGGCGACAGGAGTGGGCTTGTTGTTTTTTCTTTCGCAACGCTAGCGATTGCAAGGGGGCGGAATGTTTACGCCGCTCTCCCCTCGTTTAAACTGCCCGCGCTTCCCTCGTAGCGAATGCCCACTCGCCCGCACTGGCCAGGCTCTCCCGCTCTCCCGCACTGGACGCTTGCGATTCCAGGCTCTCCCGCCTTCCCGCTCCCGGAATCTCTCCACTGCGCTTTGAAACGCAGCGTTCAATTAGGTTTAAGTTAGTCTTTCATTGTACCACTAGTGAAATACATCGCCCGGCCGGTCCGCGCTATAACCCGAAAAGTTCATCGAGTTTTTTTTGGTTTCATTACTTTGCGCACCGCGATCGAGTGTCTCTTCACCAAGTATTTTCCAGCTTGCGACCCGGCTACGTGCGACAGCCGCAACCACCGACGAAGCTGCCCCCAAGCGACGACATCCCCGACGCCCCAACTCTTCAACTTAATTAAAAACTACAAATTTAATAGAAAAATGTTTCGCTGAAATCGCTGGCCGGAAAAACCAATTCCGTTATTGTCTGTCGCTCGCTTTCAGTTTTTCCAGGTATCTTTAAAATTAAAAATTGCATAAAATAAACTTTATAGCTTATTATAAAGCTGGGAATAGTAAAGTTAATAAAATTGTAAAATTAATATCGATTTTGTAGCTTTAAATGTAAACGAATATTTAAAAATGTCCATGTGTATGTAAATTGCAGACAAGTTTTAATGAATCCAAATTAATGCAACCGTCGTTATCTTTTGTTTAACGATTAGTCACCTTTAACTTTCGTAAATAAAAGTCTAAATTTTTCCATTAAGAGTTTAACTGACGTATTATTACAGATATTTCTAGAGATATTTATAAACAAAGTGTGCAACCTAATTTCATCAGATTTCATTGTTGTGATAGTGCTTTGGAATCTATAAAACTGTGTGACTAATACAATGCCTTTAGTAAGGTTTAATCCACCCAGGCGAAGTTGGGGTCCTTCTCCAACTTGGGTACCTTGCCGATTACGGGTAGTTCGCTGTTGTTGGGTCTGTACAGGCCGCCGCTGATGCTCTTCCGGGCGGGGAGTCGTCGACTGAAGACGTTTCCCGCCGTCCTCGGCTTGAAGGTGATGTCCGCGTGTGACTGACCGGCGTCCATTTTCTGGTTAGCCCGAGGAGCACTCACCTGCTCCAGGTAGGATTGCCACTGCTGTAGCTTGTCCTCCGCGGCTCTCAACTGATCGAGGCTGCGCTCGTGTCCAGGATTGATACCGATGGGCTGGATGCCGGCGATGTTCTTGAGATCCACCTTGATGGGCGCCAAGGCCGAAATGGCGCGCGACAATCCAATTTGTGAGTGTCGAATACGGTGCTCGGTAAGATCGGCGCCCAACAACTCCTCGTGCGGATCCATGCGTATGGGTATGATCTTGTTGATCACATACAACAGCAGGAAGGTGGAGCAGATGCCCCAACAGACGAGACAGAATGCCGAGAGCGTTTGAATCCCCAGGAGATACCAGCCGCCCCCCTTGAACAATCCGCTTCGTCCATTGGTAGTGTCCAGCGGAATGGGATTGTCGGCAAAGAGACCCACTGCAATTACCCCCCAGATGCCGCATACTCCATGCACGGCACTGGCGCCCACAGGGTCATCCACGCCCATGCGATCAAACAGCGGCATGGCCAGGACGCAGAAAAGCGAGCCGATCGCTCCGATCACCAGGGCTTCCCAGGCGCGGTACAGGAAACAACCGGCCGTGATGGACACCAGAGAGCCTAGTACCCCGTTGATGAGGTCCATGATGTCCATTCCCCCGCCATGGCGCCAAAAGGAGTATCTGTGAGAGGGCATAAAACTTATTAAAAGTAAAAGGAACTCGCTGCATATGCATTTCTGTGGACCAAGGCTTTGACACCTTGGTTATAAGAAGATCACGAGACACAACAGAATTTGTAAAGCATGATGAGCTTATTTTAAATAAATACCAGTGTTCACCCTAACTGCATTAACTAATATTATGTTTGGATATGGTCCAAATTAGTAATCATAAGGAGCTGGAACTTACATGGAGCTGGTGAATCCGCCGCCGAAGGATCCCATCATGGTCATTACTGCAGCTCTGGCCGCATACTGCCACTTGGCTCCGCTCACCCCGTACGTGCTGCCCGAGTTGAAGGCCAGCCAGCCCCACCAGAGGACGAACAGACCCATGCAGGCATTGACGGGATTGCCCAGTGGCAGCGGATCGTAGCCCTCGGAGTAGCGACCTAGTCGTGGACCGAGCATAGCTGCTGAGGCAAAGGCGGAGGCGCCTCCAATCAAATGCACCGGTCCACTACCCGCAATGTCCACGGCGCCCAGTTTGTTGAGGAATCCGTGCTCGCCCCAAACCCAACCAGCGGGAATGCAGTACACAGCGGTATTTAGGAACGAGAACAGGCAGTACGCCTTGAAATTGCACCTGGAATTTCAAACATTTCTTGTATTGAATTTATAATAATAAAAAAAAGTATTTGAAAACCCAAGCTTTTGGTCTTTAAATTTAAAATAACAAACATATTGTCTATAGTTACAGATTAACATTTAAATAAATACTCTGAAAATTGTACTTGTGTCTTTTTAAGTTAATAATAGTTTGTAAAGATATGTATAAAATCAGAAAAGTTTTTAAATAAGAAGTCAGATCCTTAATATATAAAAAGTATGGTGTGTTTTTAATTTACATATTTTGGAAAATGTTATATAGTGATGTACCAGAGGGACTATCTCTGTGTAGCTAAAAGCGAATTAGAAGCGGAACAAAAGGAATTCTTGCAGGCGTCATTCCTTAATATACCTTTTTCAGGATGTATTAAATTGGGTGTGGCCTTCTAGATAGTAATAAGTACCCACCGTTCTGCCATGGCACCGCTGACAATCGTTGTGGCCGTGGTGGCGAACGACAGTTGGAACAGGAAGGCCGCGAAAATCTGGCCCATGAGGGCATCGCCCACTGGCGGATCCAGTAGAAAGTCCCCAATGGCGATGAAGGGATTCGAGAGTGGGCCTCGCCCGAAGCTCATTCCGTAGCCGAACAGCCAGTAGGTGAAGCCGCCCAGGACGATGTCGATCACGTTCTTCATCATGATGTTTACCTCGTTCTTGATACTCACACAGCCGGATTCCAGCATTCCGAACCCGGTTTGCATGGTGAAGATGATAAAGGAGGAGGTCAGCACCCAGTTCGTGTCCTCCACAGAGAGGTCATAGAGTCCGGGAATAACATAGTTGCTGTGATTCCTCGGGACACCTTTTGCGGCCATTGCGGCCGTGGTGTTATCCATGTCCGTTGAGTTTGTCCAGCGATAGGCAACTGCCAAAACAGATAGAAAATCCGACTACGAATGAAAGTTGCAAATTACCCGCATTTGATTTAAATGCGACTTAATCGCCATTCAGCAATCATAGATTATTCCCTGTTCGTGTTTTTTGCGCACCCACTAATCTGTTGTTGTTGCTATAAGGCCCTTTAAGGCTTAAACTTGAGACTGGTTTGCATGCCGAGTGCATTTTACAAAATTAATGAGCGTATTTTGCGTGAATTGAATTTAACTCACAGATGCGCTTAGAATGCGCCAATAAATTTCAATTCAATTTCAACCTTGCGAGGGCTTAGTTGGTCAGGGGTATAACTATTCTTCGCAGACAAACTAGATTAATGTGATTTAAATAGTTCATAAGAACAAAAGGATTACAAATATAATATAATTCTGAAAAGGCGTCCCGCTTTTTTTTTTTTTACCCGCTCTAATCCCATTTTTGTGAAGGAAACGTTCAAGTAATTCCGGATAATGGTTTGTTTCTGTTGTAACCATTGTATCTTAAGAACTATAATCAATGACACCTGTTAGTTGTTAAATGTCATTAGTGTTTCTTCTTTCCAAAGTATATAAATATAATCCAAGAATAGACCCCATAATTATTATTAAATTCCCTGCCACCCTTGTAAAGCAACAAGTTGGTTCGACGTCAGCTGGTAATATGTTTTGGCACCAAAGGTGTTGACATGGCAACTTTTAGCCAGCGAGGTTTCCAGGCTCATTCGGACACCTTCATCGGTCAGTATTGATTCAACATTTTTCCGTGCATGGTGTTTGATATACTAAAATGACGACTGCGAGCTTACCCAGGGTTCCCGAGGGTCTGCGGGATCTGATGAAGGTGTACACCAAAGAAGTGTTACGTGAAAAGCCGGCTGACTTGTATGGGTTTTCGGCCAACTTTTTCAACGTGATTGTTGGTGAAAAATCACACCAAGTGGTGCGAAAATACGAGCCAGTGCAAACTTATGAAACCATCATGAAAAACCGAGTGCGACAGCAGGTGCCGCTGTCCCTTGTGTTCAATATCATCCCAGAAAAACTGACCGATCTAATCAAACAATTTATAAAGGCAGTTCTAAGGGAAAAACCGGAAAACATATACATATTCGCGCAGGAGTACTTTCAAAGGATGTCCAAGGAAAAGTCGGGGCGAATTGAGTACACCAAGTATTCGACATACGAAAAGTCATTAAAGGACAAAGAAAACGTAACTCCTGTATCGAAGGTAACCTGTGAGTGTGGACGTATACTTAGTGCGAAAACGAAGGATGTGGAAAACACGGCATCCGCATATACAGATACCAAATTAGCTGAGGCAGATCAGAGCACATTCTCGAGCAGCATTTCGTACTTGCAATCAGTTGTCATTATTCAGAGACATTTTCGACGATATCTCAAGCAGCGGAATTTAGGTCGGGAAAAGGATAAATGCAATAGCGTGGAATACGTGGCAGCAATTCTCCTTATTCAAAGGCAGGTTCGTCGCCTTTTGGCCAAGAAGCGAGTTGAAGAACTTAAAAATTCACGTGACGCCCGAAAACTTAGTTCTAAATTTAACGCTGCCGACTATATGAAAGCCGTTGTCGTCATTCAGCGACATTATCGCATATATTTGAAAAGGAAGCAGGAGCAAAATCGATTGAAAAACGGCACAGTATCCTTAGCAACAGCCGCCATTATAATCCAGAGAGCCTTCAGGAGGATGGTGGCGCTACACAGGGCCAAAAGAAGCGCATCATCGGCAGCAGATCAAGCCGAGGAACTCAACGACAATGCCTCTGAAACAGGCTCCTACACATCCGTCTCCACCGCACTCCTTTCAACGGAATCCACCGAGCTGGGAATCGCAAACTTCGAGGAACGAGTCCATCAGAAAATAATTCATGAGGACGAGGAAGTGGATAACGATAACGTTGATGTCGGCCTTGAGAAGGAGTTCGCAGAACCCATTAAAGGCGCAGAAAAATCGATACAACTAAAGAAAAGCGGTAATTAACTTTGCAAGTGTTTTCTGATTAAAAGAAATTCTTGTAATCAGAAGCTCAAGTTCTTTTCGTATTTTAATTTGTGACATTTATACATTTTTCAGAAATCCTAAGTGGTGCTTTAATCGAGAACATGATTTGCAAACCTAACTTGGAAAATGTTAAGGACTTTAATAATGAATCAAAAGATTTGGAAGTTGATGCAAAGGTCCCTGCCGAACTGGAAAATATTAAGGATTTTATTAGCGAATCAAAAGACTTAGAAGAGGATGCAGAGATCCCTGCAGATTTAGTCATTGAAGCTGTCAAAAGTAGAGCTAGCCAAGATCAAAAACCTGAAATTATTAGTAATACAGCCAGCATAGATTTGGAATCAGCAGCTCATATCGAACTTAAAGCTAAACATGACGAAGAAGAACTCGAGTTGGCTAAAGAAGCTGAACTAAAAACTATTAAAGACAGTTTGGATATCGAATTGGAAACTCAAGATGAGCTTAAAGATAAGGCCCCTAATCTGGAATCGAAATATGTTGCTGAAACTAAACCTAAAAACGAAAGCGTAGATATTGTTGAGCAAGAAGGTGGGGAATCTAAAGATCCTAACTTGGCTAAAGAAATTGAGAAAAAAGAAAATGATGCAATGGAAAATATTTTGAAAACAGTGGAAGATTCTTCTAATAATTTGGGAGATGAGCAGGAAAAATCAGTTAAAGCCGAAGTTACCCCAACTGTTTCGATTGAAATCGAGCATGTAATAGATATTGTAGAAGATTCCATATTAACTCATCACGATTCTAATGGTATGTAAATTTCATCAAACTATAAATCATAATTAAATCATTTTTTTTAACAGTTGATTTGGTAAGGGATTTAAGTGGTACCGACCATGTGGCAGATGAGTTGAATAGTGAACCCACTGTAGAAGAAGGTAGCTTCAAGACGGTTTTGGACAATCATAATGGGGAACTTCGTGAGCAAGGTACTCAAACTAATAAATTTTATAAAGTAACATGGTAATTTTCTAAAATATTTATTATAAAATCTCCCTTAGAAACTATAAATGAAAATAATAATGAAGTATCTAAAGACCCCCTAACCCCAATCAAAAATGAGGACTCTATTATGTTAGCTAAAAACGATTCTTTAAGTGAACATGAAAATAAATCTTTTCCAAAGTCTAGAGATAAGAGAAGTACTGAAGACAAAGAAATTGTTCAGTCTAATTCGGAAAGTCATGAGTCATCGATAAAAGGAGATTTCGATCTCTTAAATGAAAGCGATGCAATCTTGAAGCCAATTATTCAGGATGAAGTCCAGATTAGTAACGACAAAGCGTTAGGGGAATCATCGGAAACTATTCTAGCAACGGAAGATATTCCCAGAACAGAAAATGAAACAATCTCGGGAAGCACTGAAACTTTTATAAATAATGCAAGAGAACCTCTGGAGGAAGTGGTCAAGCCAACGATTGAAGAATTCACTTTGGTCAAAGATTCACAAATTGGTAGGATAAATGGATTAAAGAGGTTCTCAGTTTTTTATTTAATTTTTTTTAGATGATGCCATCAACGATTTCAAGGAAATTATTTCAAAAAGCATAGATACGAATGATAATTCTCAAATTGAAAATGAACTTCTAAAGCCCGACATTAAAAATATCGAAGAGGCTTCCGATTTGTCAAGTAAGTATTCAATTTTTTTTATTTATTACAAATAAAATACTTTACAAAACAAAAACAGAGGCTGAGCTGGAAAATGGACTATTAGATGACTTGAAAGCCAAGAAAGGGGAGCTGGAAATTTTAGTGGAACCCGAAACTTATAAAATGGATCAGAATATTGAAAAAAGCTTTGAGAAATCGGACTATTTACTTGGTAAGGAAAATAATGCTTTAATTTCCACTTTATTAACAAGATTTCTTAATCCAGAAAACATCAAGGCGGATAATTCATCAGATGAAACAGAAATTTTACAGAGTGAAATTAAAAAACTTTCAAACCAGGAAACCTTACTAATAGGATCCGAAAGTTTAGAAACTGAAAATATTTCTTCAGTTGAAGGCGACATTTTCATTACAAGCAATTCTGAGGAACCCAAGGCTGAATTCCATAATTTTGGGGTTTTTATAGAAGGGACGGCGGAAAAAGATAAAAATAATAGAACTGATACTCCAAAATGTACTAGTAAGCAACAAAATAAATTGGGAAATAACACAAATACTAACAATTAAAACATATATCTATTTAACTTCGCTTACATTCTTATAGACGAGGCCGCCATTGCAGACATTAGTGAAAGTATGGGAGAAATTACAGTTCCAGCCAGTAAGTAATTATTTTCCATTCATTTTTATTTATTTTACAATTAATCATTTTCAGGTACCGTTATCGTGGACGATTCTTTAATTGCATCAGTGGAACACGAATTTAAAGACTCAGTGAAAAATGGTTCTGGTAAGTTTACTAACAATTAAGTAGCCAGTTGAATATTACATTTTTGTTTAATGGTATTTTTAACCCTATTGAATTTTATTTTGAAATCAGAGGGATCTGACACCCAAACTGAAAATATTGAAGACAATAAAGAAACTAAAATGTCCAACGCGAGTGAATCCGGACATAGTACAAAAATCAGTATTGATGACTCCATTATTGACAACAGTAAGTAATACGCCTTATTTATTTGATAAAAGGTTGCTAATGATTTATAAAATCCAGCTAAATTTTCAACTGAGGTATCAGAAATTGCAGGAGCTGAAGATGAAACTTTACCAATTGAATCCGAAACAATGCTCGTTAAAGACAAAAAACAAGTTGTTGAATCTATCGAAGTGGATAACATTTCAAATGAAGAATCAAAAAGCTTACAACTTGAAGTTAATGTATCAGATACAAAAACTTTACCAATCAATTCTGGGTCTGAGAAAGTTGGAGATAGTGAATTAAAGCACAAATCTACGGAACTAGATAGTTTTTGTCCTGAACTCACAGAAGGTAATTTTCTTTTTAAAACTTAAATAACTTTTACGGCTGACTTAAACTTTGTATTTTTTATTTATTCAATAACCAGAGACAAAAAACATAAGTAACACATTTAATGATGAAAAGTCTGAAACTACAGGTAAGTGCTAAGTAATATGTATGGGCTTAAACAATTCACTTACTATATTTATTTAATAGAAAAAGTATTGTCGACTTCAGAAGAAACAAAACATTCCAGTGAATTAGTGGATAGTCATAAAAGAAGCAAAGAAGATATTGAAAATTCAACACAGCCTAATGAAAGAGAAATGTCTATTATAAATACTGTCTTAGCAGTTAGTAAGTATTTATTTAAAATCAAACCTAAAATTTTAAAAACTTGTTCATTCCAGTGGAGGTATCTGATAAAAATGAGACTGTTTCACAAGAATTTGAGGACAAGGAGATTGCCGTTCCAGATGATGAAGATAGTAAGTTTACATTAAATATATATATAATCTTATCAAAATCATGTTTTGAATTCATTTTCTTTTCCCCTAGCTCTAGCAGTTAAAAACAAAGAATCTGATTCCATAATTGAAGAAATGCTGGATAAAACAAGTTAGTAGTTTATTTATTAATTAAAGTACAAATGTTAAATTCATCCTTAGAACCAGAGTCTGCTTTGGAGAAAAAGAAGCCAGATGAAGGTCCCACAGCCGCTCTTCTTGAAGATGAGTCTCCAGATCCGGAAACCAAACCTAAAAAAGATGATTCCACAGATTTGGAAAGTAGCTCTGCCGCGGTGGAGGATAAATGTAGTAAGTTTAAAACTAAGATTATTGGTTCTTTAAACTTTATTTTTGTATCCTAGTTGGAGAGTCCAAACCAAAAACCGATTCGCCTGCCGCCTCAACTTCTGAAGTAATTACTGGTAAGAAATCAGAATCGAAAACCTTTTAAATTTGTTTTTAAATTAGCAGAAAAACTCTTCATTGCTTGTATCTAATCAATTAATTGGCACCCAAAATTTACCTACTAACCATATTGAGATCGAAAAGAACACCAAGAAGTTGTCTAGCCCTAGTGTAAAAGATAAAGATATTGGCACCTTAACGTCGGGGCGTCTTGTTCCCACACCCATAGCTGAGCTGCAGCTCAAGTCATTCAAAACTCCCAACGACGATGGCGCCTGGTATGATATTTATATGGAGCCCAAGATTACTTCTGAAAAGGATTCGGATAATACTCCATCCCCGGTTCAAATTGGCCAACCTGATACATCTTCAGTTGGAGAGGAACCTACCATTGTCGCTGAAAGAAGTCCGAGTTATTACACACCCAAAGAAATCGTCGAAGCCGTTGTACCAAAAGCTAAGAACTCAGTTTCTTTTTTATTTCATTCGACCCGGATGATGGAAAACCCAAATACAAAATACCAAAAAAGTTTCGGGATCAACCAAAAAAAGATACTATGAAAGAAATTATAAAAATCGATGATATTCAATCGGAATCTGAAGTTGATTCAAACGACGAGGAAATTGAAGTCATTGAAGTTTCGGAGGGCGATCCCGAGTACCAACAGATTGGAGGAAGCAAACTACAAACCATATTGGAACTTGACAATGAAAATGAGCAGCCTACAGAAATCAGCAACGAAAACTCAGCTTTAGAGCCAGAACTGGAAGATTCGTCAATAAGAAATATTAATAAAGTCGAAAGTAAGATGGAAAAAGTTAATTCGGAAAATATATCTGTACCAGGCAATGAAAAGTTATTAACACAGTCCACAAAAAGTGATATTGAGCGTTATGAATTGGCCTATAATACAGACATATCAAGAATGACAAGGTCTGTGCAGATCATTGAAAGAGCTTACAAACGTTTTACAAATAAACGTTCTTTGAATAGTGAATCAGACCATGAGTCTGCTTTTTCAAAGCAAAACAGAGCAGCTATAATAATACAAAAGTGGGTTCGGGAATCTTTAAGGAAAAGGTCCTTGCAAGTTTCCTCAGACATTTCCCAGAAATCAAAAGAAAGTCTTGCTGCGAAGAAAATTCAAAGGGCTTTTCGAAGATATGTAGAGAAAACAACCGAAAGAAAATCAGCTAGTAAACATTTTACAAAGAAAGAGGAAACTGCTGCACTCGTTATTCAAAAGGCAATTAGGCTATATTTGCAGAGGAACTATGTCGAACCTAATAAAACGCAATTTCCAGATAAAACAGAATTTGAGCAAAATCAAGCTGCCGAAAAAATTCAAAGAGCTTACAGAAGGTATCTAAAATTAGCCGGTAAGTCAGAGAAGATAGGTGAATCACAGTCACAAGAGCTACAAGAGGTCGATAATCCAGTGGACGATATTTCCACCCCGATTCAATTGTTAAATCCATCCGAGGAAAAAGAAATTGTAGTTTACAAATCTGAAGAACTACAAAATATTGAGAAACCTTTAAAAGCTAGTTTAAGCTCAACTCAGTTTCTAAAATCCACCGATAATCCTGAAATTATGAATGAATTACAGACAGAAGAACTTCAAGAAGATGAGGGAGCTGCGGAAACGATTTCAAATCAAATTCTGATTTCAAATTTAGCCGACGAACCTAAAATGATAAAAGAAGAGAAAGCGAATGAATTACGAGAACTGGAGAATCCTTTAAAAGACATTGAGAATCCTTTGAAAGCTAGATTGAGCTTAACTCAGAATCAAAAATCATCCGATAATTCGGTATTTATGAAAGAATCTCAGACAGAAGAACTACAAGAAGTAGAGAAAGCTGCGGAAACTATTTCCAATCAAATTCTGATGTCAAATTTAGCCAACGAACCTAAAATTATAAAAAAAGTGAAAAACAGTGAATTAAGAGAATTAGATAATCTTTCTAAAGACACTCTTTTGTCGAGTTCCTTTGATGGACCAGAAACTATTACAGAAGTGCAGTCTATAGAACAAGAAAATTCCTTGAAAGCTAGCCAATTGTATACTCCAAAATTAGCAGATGAAATTATAAATGTGTTTAAGGCAGACGAGTTAGAAGGGGAGAACCTTGCGAAAGTTATTTCAAGCCCAAAATTGGCGGACCAACCAAAGGAAACAATTTCAGATGAACTCATCGAATTAAAAAATTCTCTGAAAGATAACTCTAGTCCAATTCATATGTCAAAGGCAGCCGAAGAACCTGAAATCATTATTGAACTGCATTCTGAAAACCTACAGGAAACTGAGAATCTTGCAGAAGCTAATTCAAGTCCAATTCACTCTCCGAAATTAGCGGACCAACCAAAAGAAACATTGTCAGATGAACTCATCGAATTAAAACATTCCCTGAAAGATAATTCTAGTCCAATTCCTATGTCAAAGGCAGCCGAAGATCCTGAAATCATTGGTGAACTGCAATCTGAAAACCTACAGGAAACTGAAAATCTTGCAGAAGCTAATTCAAGTCCAATTCACCCTCCGAAATTGGCGGACCAACTAAAAGAAACAATGTCAGATGAACTCATCGAATTAAAACATTCTCGGAAAGATAATTCTAGTCCAATTCTTATGTTTAAAGCAGCCGATGAACCAGAAATTATCAGTGAACTGCAATCTGAAAACCTACAGGAAACTGAGAGTCTTGCAGAAGCTAATTCAAGTCCAATTCACACTCTTAAATTAGCCGACAGTACACAAAAACTACAAGATTTACAGATTGAAGAAGAATTACAAGAGTTAGATAAACATGCACAAGCAAATTCAAATCGAGTTCAAGATAAACCCGAGATCATAATGGAATTGGACACAGATAAACTCCAAGCAGTAAATAGTAATGCTGAAACTAACTCAAGTTTAATTTATTCATCAAAGGATGAGCCTGACGGAAAGTCTAGTGCAGCTTCTGTAATTCAAAGAGCTTTTAGACAATATATGGAACGAAAAAAACTTGAAAATTTCGATGAGACCTCCTTTGACTCGATTACGAGCTCACGAATAACAGCCATTGAAACATCCAATTATCAAACTGCTGGAACTCCATTAGAAAGTTTGGTAAAGGAACCCACCGATGAACCAATCGAAGATGCGTCGAAGGGCAGCCAGAAGTCAGAGTGGTTTGTGGGATCAACTCGCATAATACCTAGCCAGGGAGTCGTCGAAGAACATCTTGGGGTTGAAACCGATCCGGATCCAGCTGCAATCACAAGTAAAACTGAGCTCAACACCAGCACGCAAGTAGAATCAGTTGAAACAGTAGATAGAACGCATGGCTCGCTTGAATCCAAATTAACTCCTGGTATTAGCAGTTCCAAAATCGATGAGAGTGTAGGCAGTGCATCTGAAAAGGATAATGCAGTCTCTTCTGGTTTAGCAGGTTTAACGAAGTCTTCTGAAGCTGGACTTGGTTCAGGGGAGGATCCACTACTTCTATCGCAATCGGATTTCGGTGGTATCGTACATTGTAAGTTTGTGATATGGACTTGTCTGTAAATACTTCTAATAAATAATTCTGCATTCAGCTCTAGATATTGCTTCAACTCAAGAACTTGTTAATAATTTTTTGGAAAATGAGATTGAGTACTCATCTAAGCAGGGACCCTTCCTACCACAGGAAGTTAAAGAGGAACCTTGTGTGAAGAAATCTGCTTCACTGGTTAATCTTTCCGAAGGTGAATCGGAGCCAGATCTTGCTAGTCAGAAAGCTGAAAATACAGATTCTTCAGCATCTGAAAATACGGGCTTAGACACACTATCTGCGGACACAATCGACAAGGCAACCATCAAGTTGTCCAAGCCAGAGGAAGTGATTGAAAAAATGACGCAGCTAAGAGACTCCAAGTCCCACGACAGGCTTCCTTCGGCAGATCCCAGTTTTGATGAATCCGTAGTGCGACCCATGAGTTCCTTGCAGGAACAGTACAGCCTGGACATCGAGGATGGCGATATTATCGTATACAATCGACTGCAGCGGGATGAAACCCGGGAAAGCTCGGCCCAGAGTGACTCCGTAGTCTTCGGTGAGGCAGTAGCTGAAAAAATACAAGACAAGGACCTGCTCAATGAGGAAGAATCCGGAAGAGTGCACCTAATGCGGCATTACACGATCGCTGGAGATGATCCACGGGGTCTGTTTAGATCGGTGACTATTGATGATGCTCTTAGTTTTGTCGAAGTCGGAGGCAAAGATATGGGCATTAACAGCACCAATAGTTTCTGTTTGGACGATGAGACCTCGGAGAACATACGCAAAAAGATGATGGCTTACTCGTTATCTGAAACGGATTCCGATTACTTTGATCCGAGGAAGACCAGCAAGGAGGACTTTGACGTAGACACGGCCATGGCAGATGACATGGGGACATCCACCGAAACGGAATCCACCATTGTTTCGGCGGCCACCAAAATTCAGGCTGGAGCTCGTGGCTTCCTCACCAGACGAAGATTGCGTAGGGCAAGTGCTGGGACAAAGTCCTCCACTTTGGATACCAAGGCGTCATTCGGCAACGATGCAATCAGCGAGTCCCTGGAAAGATTCATCGAGGAGGAGGCGGCGAAAAAGATACAGGCCGCATACCGGATGCACACCAGGAAACGCAAGGTTCACAACCGGAAAATAGAAGGCATCAGCTTGGAGAGCAACCTGGCGGCCAGACGTCAAAAGTTGCAGCGCGGGGATGCGCTTCGAAATGACTCTACCCCAGATGAAGAAAGTAGTGTGATTGCCAGTGGAGTACAAGCACAAAAAAGCTCCAAACTAATAAAAAGCAAAACAGTTGGTAAGCGGATTTTTGTTTGTAAATAAATAGATCGAGTAAATTTCATTTGTTAATATAGTCGCTTAATTTTTTGTGTCACATAAATCTTTATTACCATACACGGTGTCTGAAAGTATGCAATAATATATTTTGTAAGATGAACCTTTTGAAAACGGAAGTAACCGTTTCCAGTTATTGTTTTACACTTCATATTTTGTTGGTAATCCCAATAAAAACAACTTCTTGATTTTGGTTTTTTTTTTTTAAATATGTTTTATCTTTTTTAAAACTATAATTCAGAGTTAATTCAAGTTTATTTTATCTCTAGGTGAGGCAAAATTGAAAGCCGACATGGAGTTAAAATGGTTGAAAATGAGGCAGAACTCGATGCCCGTTCAAATTGATTGCGAAGTTTTCAGAGTTATTCCCAAGCATATGCGAAAACGTATAAAAAGCGCCGAGGCAAACAAAAGGAAATAAAATAAACAAGTCTATAAGTATCAACGCTGAACTATATCTAAATAAAATATATATCTAATCGAAAATGTTTTTGTTATCAAACAAGCGGAAAGGCTTCCGGGAGTAAATCATAGCATTTATTTTCCTGAATTTCAACGTATTTAATTTAAACGGACTGCGGATGAGCGGATGGCTGCCACTTTTGTTCTAAACATTAAACGTATTTGACAGATTTATGAGATGGGTGTGCACCATGTACAGAAATGTGCTGAATTAAATGAAAGCTGTCGCTTATTTCAAATGTAAATGCTCTCCGAAAAGTCATTACAACTAACATTCGAGTTGTTCCGAAATTGGAAAATTCCAATCTATTATGTGCTCCATAAATGAATTGTTTATTCACTGTATTCATCGCATATACAAACAGCACTAGGACTGTAAACCAAAAATAGGCCTACAGAAAACACAAACTAATTTATATCGTTAATGGATAATGTTGTCTTTCAAGATTGCGGTTTCTTGAGTAAGAGTATTTTATTTTTCTGGAAGCTATCAGTTAATATTAAACTATTTACACGACACGTATTGAACTAAACGGTAGGTTTAACGCATTGCTGTGCAACAGCAATCTTTGAATACACATATTTGTATGTACAGTAAAAATCAGAATTGTGGAACAACGCCCATTACACAATGGGTTCGCATTGTTTCAACTCCTTGCGTGTTTTGAATCCCCGAAAGCCAGCCTGAATTTTAACAGCCGCATCAGTGGCGATTTTCTGCTTCTTGCGCACCAGGAATCCGCGGAATCCCGCCTGAATCTTGGTGGCACTGCGATCTTCCACCGACTTTCCTCCATTTTCCGAACTCGCCTGCTGATCGCCGCCATTGGGGCGGGGTTGATTTCCCTGGTTTTCCATGAGGGCGTTGTTTTTGGGGCGCTGGCGCTGGTTTCTCCTGGTATGGGAATTATTCGACTTGCTGGATCGGTGGATTTCTTTGCGCACTCGGTAGCCACGGAATCCGGCCTGGATCTTGATGGCCGCACTCTCTTCGGACTGCAAGGACGATGCTGATTCCGGGGAGCTCGGGTAAATGTACATGATCCTCTGCTGCACTGCGACGAAAATGGGTTTTCCCTGGGCAATCTGAGTCCGCGTTACTCCCCAAAAAATACGACTTGCATCGGTTGGTATCGCTCTGTGTTCCGGCCGAACTCGCTCGCTCGAGATCTAAAATTGTACTGACGTGCTGCAGACGCGGGCTTGGCATATGTACATACGGCGAGAATTTTCATTTTCAATTTCATTCACAAAACAAAGGCCCCACTCAGCGATTTCGCTCTCCCACCTCCCCCATGTATCTTACATTTTGTATCTACACCTCGGGGTACTGTATCTGTATCCACTTCTCTCCCGCGAGCATTTGAAGGAATCGTCCACGGATGCCAATGACGTTCAAGAGTTTTCGTTTCAGAAAATTCGTTGAAGCGTGTTGGAAACAATTATCTAATTTTCCCAGCGGTCCCAATTATGTGCAACCTAATTAACAGACAAATAATAATGGTGATCGGTTGCGTAATATGGCTGATTTTCTTCTTTTTTTTGAAATATTAACTTATTCGACTCGTGCTTAAATCGTGCGAAGGAAAACTCATCACGTAGTAATCACTATTTTGGAGAACATCGAGACTGTTTATGTTAGTTGGGGCCTGCGTAGCGGGTGGCGGAAATAATAGGGAAAATTGTTTAAGGTGAAAAGCGAACTTATAGATACACACAGAGATCCATAGCCATATATTCATGTGCAATGAAAGGTACATCGGGTGCATGTGCATCGCTTTGTTAATGGAAACGATGAACAGACACAGAGGCAGAGGTAATTGAAAAAGATGAACACACAAGTGCATCAATATCGGAATATGAATTTCAATTAAATTCGTATTGTTTGATGTTTGAATTGACTTGACCCTGGGTTCGAGGCAAAGTTCAAAGTACCACAATGTTATTAAATCGAGCAGCATTTGTGCGTTTAAATCAGTATTTTATAGTCACAAAATAAATTAAATTTATTTATGTAGCTAGATGTTTTTACTGATATTGAGTCTATGATATTCTGGAATTTTTTGAAAACGTCTAGGAAAAACATGTTTCGAATTTTCGCTCTATAAATTGTAGGGGAATTTGACGTCATTCGAATTTTGAACCTTAAAACGCAGCAAAGTGGCGTCATTAGACAGAAATTAATAAGAAATAAATATTATTGTTAGGTCGCTTAAAATAATACAGTCATTTCGTAGATATATATTTTGTGGTAAACAAGATTGTAAAGATTTCCTTCCGGAAATTTATAAATTTTCAGTGCTTATATTCGCCATTGTATTTAAATGGTCAGAAGCGTACGTAACATGCTTACGTATTTTTGAAAATTCGTGCACATATTGAGTACATTTCAGAGATCGTAGGTATGTAAGTAGATGTTCATGCGCAAATATACTAATTGAGTTTTGTATAAAAGGAAGTAATAAACGTTCTCAAACAGAGGAAAAAATATTTTTAAAAAATTGGCAAACGGCCAAGGTAATATGATTGGTTTTTGTGATTTGTCCGAATGACGTAGGCAAACACACTCGAATGTAGAGCGGAATTTTGGGTTTGTGCGGAAAATTGGAGGCCGACAAAGGGTCTATGTGTTTCTCTTTAAGCATGATCAACAAACAAAATTCGAATTTTGCTTACAATCTCATTTTTCAAATGTAAACAATCATGGAAATTTATGTAAAACTAAATCTGCCGGCATCGCTGACTTATGTACTTAAAATACCTAGGGTTCCCCACAAGCATTACAAAATTAAGAATGTAATTTTGATTAGGCAAGTCTTAAATATAATGGAAGCAATAGAATCATTATCTTTTTTTTTAGCTTACCTACAATATTAATCTCTTTCAATTTTAAATTATGGTACTAACTTTACATTTAAACTTGCAAATAAAAGTTTTAAGCGTATCTGATGATGTAACATTTCGATACATACTAATCTTTTATAAACATTTATTTGAGTAATTACCCAAATCGAAGCTGCGAAAATATCTAAATAAATTGATTCCCTTAATACCTTACATTTTTTTGGGTACAATATATTTTTTTTATTTGTCTCAAATGTAGAATGTATGGGTTTCTTAACAATACACATGAAGATACAATGGAAATGGCAAACGATTAATGAATTAAACAATGGAAAAATAATTATGTGAATAACAGTGGTTAGCATATGCGATAAAGCATCTTGCGTTGCATCCTGTGCTGCAGCTCTCCACGACGAATCATGGTGTGAATAACCTTCATTACGGTACGTTCCTCATACTTCTGACGCAAAAAGTCCTGAAAAACATATACATGTGAGTAAAACCGCTTTTTACTTAGGCCTGGGAATTTATAATTACCTGCAGAATGTTCTGCTCTGATACTTGAGATCCAATAGCAAAGCGGCGTTTTAATTGCTTCTCGATGCGATTCAGCGTCTCCTGGTCCTCCTCTGTTGTGAATCCCTCGGCGCCGGCCAAGCTGCCCGTCATGGCAGCATCGAGGGTCGACACTTGGAATAGGCGAAGAGCCTCGTTGACGTGCTCATCGGTGACGAATGGCAGTAAGCGAATCTTTGCCAGTGACTCCGAGATGCGAATGACAGCCTCCAGCTGGCGAACTGTAATGGGAATGCTCATTCGTTTGTCGGATGCCTTCTCTTGCTGACCAGCTCCACTGCGCATTAGGACATAGCGGCTCTTCAGTTTCTCCCCGGCCGCCTCGCCCAGCCTAGGACCGCAGTGGGTGCGGCAGTAGTGGATGTACTTCTTGAACGTTGACAGCGATATTTCACCCTCGGCCGGCTCAGAAGGAGCCGACTTGTTTGAGCTGAGATGGACGTTGATAATATGCTTGGCTAGAGTGATATCCCGCGACTCATCATGAATGTCCTTAACTATGAAAATCATGTCAAAACGGGAAAGAATCGTGGGCATGAAGTCGATGTTTTCCTCGCCCTTGGTGTCATCCCATCGGCCAAAAATGGAATTGGCGGCTGCCAAAACCGAACAGCGCGAATTCAAAGTGGTCGTGATGCCGGCCTTGGCAATGGATATGGTCTGCTGCTCCATGGCCTCGTGAATAGCCACACGATCGTCCTCTCGCATCTTGTCGAACTCATCAATACAAACCACGCCGCCATCGGCCAGGACCATCGCCCCGCCTTCCATGACGAAATTGCGCTGAGGGATATTTTATCAGTCAATAAGTAAAATATAGGTCCTTTAATATTATTATACTCACCGTCTGGGGATCCTTCATAACCGAAGCAGTGAGACCAGCAGCACTGGATCCCTTGCCCGAAGTGTAAACGGCTATGGGCGCCACCTTCTCCACGAACTTTAAGAGCTGCGACTTGGCTGTACCAGGATCACCCAGCAGCAGGACGTTGATATCGCCACGACGGCACAAACCGTCCGGTAAACGTTTACGGGATCCGCCGAAGAGCATGCAGGTTATGGCCTTCTTGATATCCCGCGAACCGAAGATACTGGGTGCCAGCGACTGCGAAAGACGATCGTAGATGTCTCCGGAAGCGGCCAAGCGCCGAAAGTGTTCCTCCTCGTCGGTGGTAATGTTGCTGTAGCGGGAGATGGCACCGGAACCCTCCGAGTCGACTGTGATGCCCACCACTCGCATGTAGGGAGCACGGACGCCAACGACGGCTTTCTCGCGACCATCTTGGCGAGAGGGTTTGCCCACCTTTCGAATGGAATAGATGCCCTGGATGAGCACACGATTGCCGGGCACAACGCGTTCGCAAAGCGAGCGATCGCAAAAGAGCTGCAAGTGGCGGGGAATCTCGCCCTGGGGCACAAAGTCGGGCAGTTCCTGCAGCTTGAGTGTTTGGAAATCGACGCACTTGCACTTGTCCGGCATAATGAAGAAGGGATCTAATGGGCACTTAGGTCTTCCAGCCTGCTCCGTGTTACACTTCCTGGGCAGGGCATAGCCCTCTAATCCCGGATTCACTTTGAGATTCGGAATCACCGTGCTGCAGGAGAGGCACATGATGGACATCCGCGTGGCCTTGGCACTGATACCGGAGGCGGCCACAATGATTCCGGCGATTTTGACCAGCTTAGACACGGAGTCCGACTTCAGCTGACGGATGTTGGTGGGGTTCGCATTCGAGCTCAGCAGGATTTGGATGTCGTGCATCTGCTCCTCGTGCTCCGGACGGGGAGCTGTGATCTCGTCGGCCACCTCCCGGGCGGCTTCCTCGAAAATCTGCAAGTGTTCCGTAGGCTGTTTGTTCAACTTGTCTGCCAGCGTCTCGTCGAAGCCCACCAGGTCCTCCATCTCGATCTCCAGGAAGTACCGTCCATTCAAGTAGTTCCTCTTCAGAGTGTCGCTACAGAAAGATTACCTTTAAAGCTGTTTGGGAGGGGATTTGAATTCCACTCACCGGTATTTGTAGAAAAAGTTCTCTTCGTTGAAAGTGCGGATAAACTCCTTGTACTTCTTCTTCACCGCCTGCAAGTTGATTTGCGAATCCGTCTGGTTTTCTCCTCCGAAATTGTCCGAGAAGAACACACCCGCATCGTCAAAGCCTTCCATTTTGATCGGTAAACACGGTTAAAACAAGATACTTTTGGTAAATAAACGCTTCTTTCTGCCTGGCTTCCTCCTGTTCAATAATGCGATGTGCTATTATTTTGCCGCCAAAATTGCCGGGCAAGCGGTGACTAGAGATGGAAAATTAAAGATGGAACTATCGGTTGTTTTTCGCAACTATCGGTGCTTGTGCTTAACATAATTTCAAGAATTAAAATTTATTTAAATTATAATGAATGATATGAGCTGTGTTTTAGATAAAAGCATCATGGACATCATCTTTTATGTCTTCCACATGTTCTACCAAATCACTTGATTCCAGAACGTTCTGAAATAATACTCGAACAGTAATTAGAAGTATACAGTGACCTGAAGCAATCAATGTCAAGTCACTGGAAAATTAAATAATCTGGTAAAGGTGGGTCTTAAACAAAAATTGAGTTACATTTTATCTATAATTTAATTGACTCATATGCAAATCGACAAAATAATAATTAAAAATGTGTTAAAAAATTGTTTTAACTACATAAATTTGTAATATAGTGGGTCTATTGTTTCTTGTATTTTTTGACGTCACAAAGGTACATTAATCATTTTCCGTAAAGTACTCTTCAAAATTATCTTAAAACTATTCCATATAATATTTTTTCAACCCCTTTCCAATCACAAAAAGATCCAGTGACTGTCACTGTTTGAGCATAAAATTCAACCCCCAGTCAAAAATACCAAATCCGAAATTTCGCACGCTTTAACGGCGACAGTGTTGCAAAACGAATTTTTGAACTAGCGTGCTGTAGAAATAGTCCCATCATTTAGTCGCTATTTTTTCGACGTGAAAAACCAAAGAGACGCCGAAAAATTAGAAAATGGTGAGTTTCCGACGGATTTTGCATCTAAATAAAGGCTGTAATGCTGACGGTTCGATTTCTCAGGCCAGCACAGACATCCCGATGGAGGCAGCTGTGGAATCTGCGACCGGCCTCACGCCCAATTCAAATGCGAACTCAAACAATGTGGCTAAGAAGCTGCCCGCGGAGGAGTCCACCGGGGATAATCCCAACGCCAATGCCAACGCCGACGAGATGACGTCCCGCGATTATTACTTCGACTCCTATGCCCATTTCGGGATCCACGAGGAGATGCTGAAGGACGAGGTGCGCACCGTCACATACCGAAACGCCATGTACCACAATAAGCATCTGTTCCAGGGCAAGGTACGCTTCACTTCACTCCCCTCCCATGGCTTCCAATTTGTAGCCATCTCACCGCGTAATTTCCATTTTCAGACTGTGCTGGACGTTGGCTGCGGCACCGGCATTCTGTCCATGTTCGCCGCGAAAGCCGGCGCCGCTCTGGTGATCGCAGTCGACTGCTCCAACATCATCGAGTTTGCCCGCCAAGTGGTCATCGACAACAATCTACAGGACGTGATCAAGGTGGTCAAGGGCAAGATTGAGGAGATCGAGCTTCCAAATGGTATTGAGGGCGTGGACATCATAATTTCCGAGTGGATGGGGTAGGTTACGAATTTCCAAAGGGTGGCATAGGTCTAATTTTGTTAGAGAGCTCTTAAAAATTAACTCTCTTAAATAGATATATAGCCCTGGCTGCCGCTAGATTAGATTTGTGCAGCTATCTAGAATGAAACAGCCGCATATAACAAAAACAAGAAGTTGTGATTTCCCCGAATTGTAACCATTCTAATTTATTTTGTATCTTTAGTTACTGCCTCTTTTATGAGTCCATGTTGGACACAGTGCTATATGCGCGGGACAAGTGGCTGAAGCCCAACGGCATGATGTTCCCGGACCGAGGCACGCTGTACATCACGGCTATCGAGGACCGACAGTACAAGGACGAGAAGATCAACTGGTGGGACGATGTTTACGGCTTCGACATGAGCTGCATTCGAAAGGTGGCCGTGACTGAGCCGCTCGTTGACGTGGTGGATCCCAAGCAGGTGGTCTCCACTTCCTGCATGGTTAAGGAGGTGGACCTATACACCGTTCAGAAGGCAGATCTCAACTTCTCGTCAAAGTTCAGCCTGTGCATCAAGCGAAACGACTTTGTGCAGGCGCTAGTTACCTACTTTAATATAGAATTCACCAAGTGTCACAAGCGCCTTGGGTTCAGCACGTCGCCAGACTCCACATATACGCACTGGAAGCAGACCGTCTTCTATTTGGATGACCATATGACGGCCAAGAAGAACGAGGAGATCACCGGCACGTTCCAAATGAAGCCCAACGAGCGGAACAACCGCGATCTGGACTTCGTCATCGACATCAACTTCAAGGGCGAACTGTCCGAGATCCAGGAGTCGAACACTTACCGCATGCGCTAAGGTCCGCCATAACCAATCCAGTCCGCCAGTCTGTAATGGGGCTCAGAGCTCTGTGGCAAGGATATAAACAATGACTAGACGTAAGGTTTATTCCAGTGCGAAATGTGCAACGAATTAGTGTTGCGTCTTCTCCTAAGTTTAAAGTGTACCTTTGTTAGTATACATAATATTTTTACACTCGTGCGCCTGTTTAAATTATTATTCGAACATACTTCTAAGAAAAGTTGTACAGTAGCACGTCAATTCTCACATAATAAACAGTGCATTAAGCACATCCCCTTTTGCTGGAAACAGATGCATTTTGATGACACATGAAACCTAACGAAACTCGTTTGATTGTGTTTATATTTTTTTTAATACAAAAAATAAGGAAATTTAAGAATGCATTGAAAGAAACAGTGTCATCTAAAGGGAATTTACTTACATCGCAATCAACATAGGAATTCCTTTTAAAAAAGACAGCCTGTGCCAAGTTTTAGGTTTGATTGCGATACTGCTTAAGTGTTATCCTTTTGTTTTTTTTTGGAAATATATTAATGGCGATCGCGGGAGTCCGAGCGACTTCGACGATCGCGCGAGAAACTGCGACTGCGGGGTGAACGGGAGCGGCGTGGCGAACGGGAGCGATCTTGCGAACGGGAGCGACGTGGCGTCCTGAAAAAAATTGTTGGTAAAGAAAAGAAAATTAATAATATTAACAAAACTACAAGTCAACTTTCTGCTTAGAATATTTAAAAGTGTATGTACATACGCGACTTACAAAAAGCTGTACAAAAAAATGTGACACTATCAGGTAAATGCGGGTTTGGCAAAATCTTATTCGCAATATAACATTATTCACAGGAAATGAAAGCTGTGCAACTTTTTGATCTAATTTAAGTTAAGGTAAGTATAATCCAATTTGGTATTGAGTATTTATGTGGCAAAGAGCAAATTAAAAAGTTAATAGAAAGTTTTAGGAAAACCCTGTAGCTACTTGGTTAATTTAAATCTTTCCACATTTTGGAAGGACAAATTCGCAATGACAAAATCGACGGACAAATCTATAATACTTCCTTTGAAACGAACTTGGGCCAGCAAGTAAAAAGTAAAATCGCCGAGAAAGCTCAATAAACCGCCAAGACGAGCCCTGTTATTAAACACTAAATTAAAAAAAATATTTGTAAGCAATTATCTGAGGGATACGCGGGATAACTTCATTAGTAGAACTCTTTGGCGACTGCAATGCTTCTTCTACGATGAAATCATTTGGGTTGCTAATCAAAACTTCTGTGAGGCTGTGACGCTGAACATGGGTAATTTGGAGTTGCAAGTTGAAGGTTGTTGGCTGTGGCTGTGAAGATGGTTGCTGTTGTAGATTGTTGATGTTGAAGAAGGAAGAAGTAGCAGTGGAAGTAGTTCTAGCCGAAGGAGTTATCCTGAAAAAGTGTCGATAACTCGCATTTAACAAAGACTAAAGGTTCAGATCGTAGATAATATATATATACAGTTTGTATGTTTGGTCAGAGTAACATACTATCAATTTTCGATTAGGAATGTCGTGTATTTTGGTCAAAAGTCAGCTAAGCCTCTGACCAAAACAGCCTACGAAAAAACTTCCATTAAGTGGAAGTTTTTTCGTAGGCTGCTTTATCACGTGCAGCAAAATGGCGGGAGAATGTATTTTAGCAATCAATGGTTTGCGTTGATATCAATGAAAAAACAGATTATATACATTTTGACAGGGACTTGGTTAATTCGGCCGTTTGAATAAAAATATACCGCCGTTGTTAACGTTGACTTGGAAATGAATTACTCCATTGGAGTCAAGAGATTCATGATTTCCATTTTGGAAAGCATTTAAAAAGAATAACTGTGCGACGTGTTTTGTCCATGGAATTACCTGTAGCGCCGGGAACGCCCCGATGACATCTCCACGCGAATTCTGGCGCCGCAGCAGCGTGTTCCGTCCAGAGCACGCTTTGCATCCTCCGCGTCCCGTCGGTCTTCGAACTCCACGAAGGCGAAACCTGGCGGATTACGGGCCACCCATACGTTGCGCAATGGTCCGTATTTACTGAAAGCTCCCTCGATCTCGTACTTGGACGCGGAGCTGCCCAGGTTGCCGACATACACTTTGCAGGCCAGGTCCCACTCCTTGTACCGGGGCATTTTTGGGGTGTCGTGAGTCTTGCGGGAGAATGTGAGCGGCTAAAACACGAATATCGGGTTTACTAAGATTTGCCGTGCAAGCCTTGATATTTGGGAAGCTCGCCTTAGCCCTTACCTGCTAAAAATTAACTAGATTTTGATTATTTTTTTTTACAAAACCAGGCCTGTTTCTTATTTATTACAATCACCTAAAGTGTGACCGAATTCGAAAAAGTATTGGTGGCAGCTCTAAGCGATGTATATCGCTGGTTTTTGTGAGATGCTTAAAATTAAGTATGGAAAAGTTCTAAAATAATAGAATAAAATTTTAATAGTAAATTATAGAGCAATTAAACTCTAAGCTTACATACTTTTAATTTAGGTTTTTTTTATTCAATTTAAGTTAAGATGTTATCTATCAACTGAACTGAACAACAACTAATAACTGAATTGGTTTTTACCATACTGTCTGCCTTGATTTTAAGCTAAACTGAGCGGCAACTCTGCGATACGTATAACGATATGAAGCTAACCTCATGTATAAAGAATGTATTCCATTTTTACAGCTAATTGATAATTTAAAATTTTAATTAAGTAACCATTAAGGCACGAAAATATTTGTATGAGCAACCGTAACAGAACATCTCCCATCCCTAATAGACATTTCATAACCAATCCGCCGGGCACCACTTCATTCAACGAAAACATTGTCAAATCCTAACTAAAATGAGGCTAACAAAGACCTTATGTGCCCAGCACATCGGCTGGCACTTTAAGAAGCACTGGTTGGTCCAGGGAAAACGAGTTCCCAAGGAAACTGGTGCTGTGGCCGAGCTCCTGAAATTGGGAGTTCAGGTAAAGAATCCAGAGGATCTATTAAACGGCAAAGTTGAGAGAAAAATGTAAGGATTATTAAGCGAATAATATTTAAATATAATTATTAACATTTATCGTTCATCCCACAGTGTGGACATTGTTGGCACCCGTGTGAACACAATTCCCGAGGACAGCAGCCACCCTGACTGGCATTCCACCGTTTGCCACTCCTATTCCGACAACAACGTGCTAATTGGAGGACTGCCACAGGCCCAGGTCCTGACCAACTGCATCGAGATTCAAACCTTTCCCAAGCAGATCGAGGATGTCATTGCCAGCCAGCAGTTGCCCAATTCCATAGACAAGAGTATTCGGCATGCTATTTTGGCATCCCACGTGCTCGATGCGGAGCAAGTGAAACTGCCCAAGGTCAGGCTTCCAGAGCGCCCGGCCTTTAATCTGCCCCGTTCCTATGGAATTTCCCATGAAAGGGTCAAGTATGTCCATATCTATATACGTTTCTTATACCAAACCTAATTCTGGAATCTAATTTAGTCGCCTGCTGGTAAACAAACTCCTGCATGAGACCGAAAAACTGGCTGGTCGTTCAGTCTCTATTCGTAGAAAGCTTATAGACAATGCCACTTTCAAGACCTCGATCAATAAGGACGGTGATCTTCTTGGGTTTTCCATCAATGCTGAAAAAGTCATTTTCGCTAACCGTGCCATCGAAGCTGTCAAGGGAAAATTTGAGGGTGATTTGCCCGATCTTTACCCAATGAAGACTACAATTTCGATTCCAAAGCATCATATTTACCAAACGGACAATTTCTATCGTGAGTTTTTAAATCACTGTATGTACTTGCAATTCTAACAGTGTCATAACTTCAGCCCTGCGCACGGATATCAGCTGCTCCCATCCACACACTATTTTCACGGTCTTTAACAAGAACCTGGTTAAAAACGCGCATGGATCCGGAGTCACAACTTCTCAGCTTCAGGCAAGGACATTGATCAAAGCTTTCGTTGTGGCTGCGGCAAGAGCTAGGCAATTGCACGGAGATTCCGTGGAGGGTGCTCTCCCCAAACCAATTGTCGTGCAGAGTGTCCAGACCGACGGACGCACATTTCACTTTGGAGTGCTGCAGCTGAACACACTTGATCTTAGCGCCAATAACCCCTCCAAGAACTATTGGTTCCACAGGCAGAACTACGATCTATTTTCCGAATGCAGCTACGAAGCTGGAAGAACACATTTGACAAATTACAACGGCGATGTCTTCCGCATATTTAATGCATTTTATAACAACTAGTAAAATATAAATGAAACTTACAAATAAAATACTTTTTTGTTATGTCTGTATAAGGCTAAAGAAATTATTTTATTCGGGCTTGGAAATTTATAACGTATATGTATTAATTTTGTTTTTAAACATATTTTTTATTTTCAAAGGAAACTCCAATGTTTGATTGTATTGGATCTGCTCTTTTCTGGTCTTATAAATTGATTTATTAGAATGGTCTTGAGGAGCCTTACATCTTGAAAAAACTTTTTTACCTAATATGGGACTGAGAATATTGATTGATAAAAACCCATTTAAAATTATTTCAAAAATAAAAGCCAGAAATAGCTGAAGCAACAGCACTTCGTCTATTTTCCTATCCTAGGTGTAAATTGGTGAATTATTTTTCACCTTACTTGTTATTCCCCCTTATCGACAGGTCGATACCCGAACCCCATCCCCATCCGCAACCATTTCAGCCGACTCCATAGCAACGTGGATGCACTTCAATTGTTTATGCATCGATGTATTGACTGCTAATAGAGACGTTGTGCAGAGCAAAGTTTTTCCACCCACACACATTTAAAGTTTAAAGAGGCAAACAAATCGCTACCATGAATAGGCCAAAGCAGAGCACCAGCTCCAACAACAGTGGCACATCCTCGGAAACCAGCGAGACGCAAAGTGTGGATGACCAGCAAAGAACTCCGCATTTGAACATTCGTGCGAGTAGTGCATCATTGAGTAGGTGGGTAGAGAACGTATTATTTGGCAATTCTTTGCCTATTATTTACACAATTTTAATAAATTTGTAGAGCCAAAAACAGTTGGAGACGCATGAAGGAGCTGGCTGCGGAGAAGGAAAAGGAAAATGAGGCCAAGCGACCGCCTTGGCGAGCAGTTAGCGTTTCTACGCTTACCAAACCCGATAAAAGCGCCTTGCTTCGGGCCAAATTACTGGATGCCTCAAGGTTATTGAACTTAATTGTAAACTTTAAATAGTATTCAATAATTTTCCAAACAGACGGCTTAGAGCTGGCAAGGCAAATGTGGCTCTACAAACGGACTTTGTGCCCACAAAGCTAATGAAAGAGGCTAGCTTTGGGGTACAGGAGGATCTTATTCTGCACAAGGACATTGGCATTCTCACCGACGGACAGTACTCGAAGAAGAAGGATGGCTATGAAAAGTGTAAGCTTAGTACTTGGTACTTAATTAAAACCAAATTAAATGTGCTATTTGCAGATGTGCTCACGTATTCCATGTCACAAATGACCGATAGTGTGGCTACAGTTTCGCGCCAAACACAAACTCTGCTGCCCAAGGCATATAATAAAGATCTCGTAAATTCGTACCTCCCCAAATCCGAAGAAGATGATGGCAGTGACATTATGTCCGATGTGGAGAAAAGGCTTGGCGATCAAATTGCCAAGATACGGAAACTAAACTTTGACGAAACGCATCAGCCAAGAAGAAGTGGGAATAATACGATCCTGGCTCCTACCCTGTCATCCTGGCACTTCGATGACGATGCAGTGGAAATGGAAGCTGATCGACACTTTATACCCTACACAATTGAGTCGTTTAAGCCCTGGCGGAGCTTCGTTCCATTTCCCTTCCGATTGAGGGGTAACTCCCTAATTGGCACCCAAAAGATTGATTGGTACGCCCTACTGCAGTCTATTGACGACCTGATCAAGGAGTCCAACAATCTGGTAGACAAGTTGGAGCAGATAATGTTGGAAAATCGAACGCATCGGAAGTCTGTGCTGGGAAATCTGGGTAAAATTCCCAAGTTCGAGCCCAGCAACTTAACACCTCCGTCGGAGCAATGGCTGCCACTAATTGAACAGCAGGAAAAGCAACTGCAAATTATTTTGAGCAGCAGCGGGGCTAAGGTTGAATCTCCCGAGTAGTGGTTAATAAAGTATCCAAATACGATGATGGTTAAAAATTATGAAATCAAATTACCTGCACCCTGTTTAAGATATGATTTAAACACTATATTCGTATGGTTTATAGCCTAAGGCTTTAAAAAGCGAAAGAAAAGCTTGTTAGTCAAAGCACTAGAAATTGTAGTGAACTACAGAACACGGTTAAATAAAGATAGCACAATGGAGTTTATTTATTTGTTGAAAAATATTTGGTTGTAAGGGTACTGCAAACAATTTGATTAAACTTGAAACGATTAACATTAACTAAGCCTTCTTTTCCCGAGAAATTCCAGATGACTTTCCCTTTCCTTGAGAGCTTTTCTTTGGCATAAGCTTCATCAGAATGTCCGTAGCTGATTTACTATCCAGGGGGCAATTGGAATACACCTCCTCACACGCTCTATCGTCGGATCGCTTTCCATGCTCCAGCGCTTCTTTTATTGCCGTCCCATCTAGCAGGTAATCCACCAGAGAATTTCTAAAAATAAATAAACCACAAAAAAAATAATTTTAAATCGATTTTTAATTCTGCAGTTACTTACTCCGAAAGCATGTGAATAAATTCGTCCATTTGGTCTGAGGAACCGATCTTCATGTTATACTCCGTGGAGCGAACATAACCACACACCGCACGTTGCATACAACTTGTGGAGTCAATATTATTCTGACCCAGGACATCGTCGATTTTGTTCATCATGGTACTCAGGGGTGTCAGGTCACTATCCTCACCTGTAAGAAATCACATTGATTAATTGCAACTAGTTTTGAAAAGGGTACTTACTTCGTCCATATCCTCCATATCCACCATGGAATGCTGATAGAATTTTCGGAATTAGTATAATGGCTCCAATGCCCACAAGAGTTCCCAAAACCACTCCGCCCAGGTCGAGTTTAATTGGATTGTAGGCGGAAAGTCCAGTACCGCCAGGATAACCCTAAAACGTAAAAGAATATAAATCAATTATAGATAGCTTACATCAAAAATGATTGATTAAAAATCATTAACATACGTTTAGAGATCCATATCCAGTGGTGTATCCCAGACGTTCAAGCCTATCTTTTGTGGAAGCCGCTTGAGGTTCACTGGGCTGCGTCTTATTTTCGTTGTAGTAGGACCTATCTCGCTGCACTTTGTCCGCGTAGAACCTGTAGTAGTGCCAAAGTTAATACTAAATTTGGAGAACTATAATCCACTTACTTATGGCTGTCATCATATTTAGGGATTGCATTCGCATAGCTCAGCAACACCATCGCACCCAATAAGTGCAATATAATAATGCAGTTTGTGTTCATTGTGTTTTTTAATAGTATCCTTTTTGGTTTTATGTTATTTAGTCCCTTGGGGTTTTTCTGGTGGCTCCAACGCGTCGTTCACTCTGCTCAAAACTAATATTTCTACTGCTACCGACTCCACTATTTATAGGAGTTGCCCAAAAATTCGAGCAATTTGTTCAAATTACAAAATGTCAAGCAATGTGCAGATTTGAATGCCGTTTAAGCGAGTATTTGGGAAAAGTGAGGAAAGAAACCCATTCTAGCAAAACGAATGAACAGGTGTTTGTAACCATACAGGCACTTATGTCCACACACACGCACAGTAAGCCCTCGCTGTGTAAGACCATCATTGTATTTATGTCGCTGTAATGCGCAATTTTCATTGCATACTCAATTATTTAACGAAATTATCGCAGCCACGAAAACGGCGAAGACGCCAACAAACAACCACGCTTGCTGGGCGGATAAATTGAGCAGCCATGCATCTGAAACCAAAAGTCGTATATCTATGTACTCCAATGGATCAAAATCGCGACTTGGGACCGGAGACACATGGAAGTGTTTGCACCTGTGCGACTTGCATCATTATGAGGGGCACCCGACCAAGAGATTTCTGGTATTAAGTCACTGACTTTTTGTGGCTCGTTTTTCGTAAATATTAAAAAGGCCTTTAATATATGGGCTTTTACATAGATATTTATAAATGGTTTGTACTTCAGTATAAAAGGGCTGTTTTATAAAATATTTTCATTTCCAAAAAGGAACCTTTACGTCAACTTACATTAAATACAAATAAAACTTAACAATTTCATTGCACAATATTTTAAATCTAGAAGTAAAGAACAAAAATAATAAATTAAAAAAGATTTCTAGATCTGAAGATTCGAGATCGGGGCAGCAAATGCTGACCTTCGAAATTCAAAACAAATCAAAATAAATAAATACTGCTATCTACCATCAGCAAGCTTATTCAAATTTATAAATGGATTTTGAGAAAAAAAATGATAATCTACTTCTCTATTTAACAATTATGTTTAAAAGTCGCAAGGTTTACTTTTCCTTTAAATTCTTAGTAATAAGTAAGTATATGGGTTTAATTTATTTCATTACTATAATAAAATATTATGTAAGTACGCCGTCTTGTATATTTTCTCAATCTTAAATATTATATTATATTTATTTTGACACAAATTAGCAGAGTAACTGCTATCTGAATAATTGAGGAACATATGGTTTCAGTTTCTTTTATTATTTAAAACAAAAAAAATTACATTTATTTTAAAATTCGAAATAAAATGGACTTTACAACATCCACTTTATTTTTGTTGTAGCTTATTAGCAATCTTTTTATTTCCATTTTTACTCCCCTTTGCTGATATTCTTCTAAAGTTATTGCAGCACAATATTATTTACTTCACGCAATGTATTCCATGATAATAAACATTCGTGAAACTTTACAATTAACATATACTTAAATCTAAAACCTATTCATTGAATCCTGTGAGCCAATTTATTTTCTGTTAATTTTTCAATGTCCGTTTATCTAAAGAATCCTGTGAGATAATTTAATTTCTGTTAATTTTTCAATGTCCATTTACACTTAATTGGTACAAAGAAAATAACGAATTCCAAGTCAGTGCTCAATGGCAAATTTGTTCTCCGATTAGTGTGACTTAGGCAGCCTTGAAATTACGAGTCATTCATTGCCTCTCGTTAAGGTTAATGTCATAAAGAATTTGCTTTTTTGAATTTCTGCCATGGTTTTGTTTATATACAACCAGACACCTACACACCCGATTTAATATGTGGGTATAGGATGATGTGCAGTTTATTTATATGTTCACGAATACATGTTTCCGATCTTATTGTAAGAATGTATGAGTAATCTGGCCTCAAATTGTTGGAAAACAAAATTTATTTTTATCTTATTTTCAGGTTTGTATTTTTTAATAAATTATTTCCAGATATATGTGTGAAAAACTCTGTGTCCGGTCCACAGGTGATACCCACTGAATATTAATTGCTCCCAGGATTTTAATTTCATGCCTTATTTGTTTTATGTATAAAATGGCACCCAAAAATGTGCCGTCATTGCCTTAAGTTTTATTTTTGATTGTTAATCCATCCAAGAACCCAAAATAACATGTTGAACTGTACGATGATGTTTTGATTGATGAGATATATTTGAGATTTAAATATAATTTTATTTATTTGTGATTCATTCAAGATAATAGAGTGCCTTTTAACATCTTCGACGTTTAATGACATATATTACAGACAGCCAATGCTTTTAATTGAAATTCATAAATTGTCAATTTCAATATTTGCTCATTAAATTTTAAAAATAAATAAGACCCACTACATTTGTGCTCATGTCGACCCATATATCACCAACTCAAAAGGGGCCACTTTATCGCGTCATTAAAGATCGAATATTAAATAGAGTTCTATTAATTAGTGTTAAATCTAAAAATACAAAGCTTCTGGAAAACAACCGTGACGTTTGTTTTCAAAAAAGGGCTCTTATATCCTGCAAGCACAAGACGATGTACATGTGTATATAGGCCTTTTCCTAACACAACTGTATGAAATTTGCTGGCTTTATGTAAACAGAATTTGCTCGCTCTTCGGGACGAGAGATGTCAATGTTTCTTAATTCCAAAAATAAGTTTATTTGGGAGATGGATAGAAAAAGAGGTATAGACTGAGCGTGAGAGAGTGAGAGAGACCGAAGGCTGTGAAAATTTTGAAAATCAAAAAATTATAAGCAAGTGCTCCGTGCCATTCTCAGGCAGATCAACTCGAACGGGCGTCTAGTGAACAACACGCAACGACGATATATCCGAACCAAATCCAACGAACAATTCAATTTTAAATTTCAAAAAAGCATCTAAAAATCGCAAAATGGTTTACGAAAGTGGATTTACAACTCGCAGAACGTACTCCTCGAGGCCGGTGACTACTTCTTACGCCGTTACGGTAAGCCCTTCGACATAAAATTATATACTTGACATACGGTAGTGTGGTTTTCCTTGATTTAAATCTGTGAAATATATCTGTGCGTACAGTTTCAAAATTCAAAATTCGAAATTCAAAATTAACAAGTCACTTGTGAATGCACTGTCTACAAACGCTGCGGATAAATTTGACAAATTTGAAAGCAGTTAGCTAATCGAATCTGTAGTCACAAGATTTCAGTTATAAACGCTTGTGTCCCACTGGCTGTACTCTATGGTTTAATATTGACGAGCGAACAGATTATTTAAGAAATTGAAACACGTTTGAATGTAAAGTGTCTACCAAATATGAATATCGTATCGAACTTACAGTATATAACTAGCTGGTTTTTTATTACTGAATAAATGTCCTTGTGGTCAAAAATATTTGATGATCACTGGAATGTTCTGTAAATGTACATATGCCAAATAGTATTTTCAGGTTCAGTGTAAACATTTGTGTAGTAAATCATACATAAACCTATTTCTAACAATTTAATAACTCTCATAATGGTTCTACATACGCCTGTATGTACTTGTATTATACTATATGTGATATATGTGCGATCACCGCCTAACCATAATAAAACCAGACAGACACATTAAGAATATGTGACAAAATTATATGACAAAATTATGCGAGTGTGAAAACATTGCAATTTTCGTGAGGTCGTGGGAATTGAATTTTTCCGAAATTTATTGCTGCGCGATGATCTTCATATCTCTTTCGGATATACGTGTTTACTCATCTCCCAAATATAACACGCGAACACATTTTAAGAATTCAGCGGAGGCTGAACATTTTCTTCTCTATCTCTATTTATTTTATTATTATTTACAAAAAGTTGAGGTCCGTCTGGTGCCCAAAAATGTTTAGCATATAGGCGAGTGGAATTCCAAACACATGCGAATTCTCGATGAAACTCATACGGACGCAACTCTCTCGATAATTTGTTTTTGTTCGGGCCGTGGTTTTGCTTTTTGTATGTGTAATACTATATGCGCGCGCATTTCGCTCTTCGCTAGTCCTAAAAATATCTTTCCGATTTCCATAATATATTCAAATAAACCGAAGCCATGAAAAGAGCCAACAATAAAATAACGGCAACATTTTTCAAAATTAGAAGATAAATGCTGAAAACACAAAAGATCCATTTTTCAGACAGTTTAATGTGATGATAATCCAAAGCAAGGATATATATGTAAATCCATCTTGTCTGGACACTTTCTGTTTTCCTTGTATTTGAATTTTGACAAATGTTGCATCTTTATAAATAATTTAGAATGATAGTGAATTGATGAATGAAAAAGAGACGATATAACGATGTGTATCTTTTAAATATGTATTGTGGAGAAGTGTTGCTTGGTTTTTAGGGATAGAATGCAGTATAAACAGCTTAATTAAATATTAACTTGGCTTTGTTGCTGTAAATAAATACACGTTTGCTGTTTGTGTCCCATATAAAGGCTGCGAGTGATTCCATAATGCTCCCAATGCACATTACTTACAACCACACTACGTCGTATCAATATGCATACATACATATGTGTATTTAGACTGGGGTGGACCTTTGGAAACTCAAATTTTAAATTTAAATACTGGAATTTCCTGTGGTTAAATAGCCACCCGTAAAGTATGCTACCTTTTTGCAATTAAGTATACGAGCAAGGGCAACGTTGCGTATGAGTGAACTGTTTTGCTTATTTACTCCTTATGTACTACAAAAAGGTCCACTCTGGTATACAGATACATGTGTATATATGCAGCTTGAGTCATAATGTAAGGATGTTCGAATATTGGATATAGCTTGACCCACCCAGCACATCGATCTCAACCACTGCCCAAACGAAGCTGTATATAAATGCCCCGCAGCCACTTAAGATTGTGTATATATTAGCCCCACCGCCCAGTTGAGTTCCTGCACCACCTAACCACGTTAGCCACGCGTTTAACCCCCGGCTGACCCAGAAATTAAAAACAAACTTGTGGACTTTTGGGCATTGCAGAGAACGAAGAGAACACCAATTGACTGGGAGAAAGTTCCGTTCGTCCCGCGGCCGTCGCTCATCTCGGATCCGGTGACCGCCTTCGGAGTGC